TGGAGAATTATAAGGCTACTCTTGGTCATGATGTTGCTGACCGACAAAAAATGCGGCGTGTGACCTGGGAAGAGGATGATAGTGATTCACATGTGAATGCTGTTGCAAGAACAAACAGCATACAAGAGGACATAAAAGCACTTCTTCAGATGAAGAAAAAAATGACGAAACCAACACCATCCTCAGGTTGTTTTAATTGTGGAGACAAGTCACATTTCCAGTCCAACTGTCCTAAAAGGTCAAGTAGTCCACAGAGAGGAAGGCCCTTATCACCTACATTGGCATGTTATACCTGTGGTGATAGAACCCATCTCAATAAAAACTGTCCAAAAAGGTCGAGATCACCGAGCCCACAAAGGGTCAGTCCTACATGGGATACAAGACCAGTGTATGGAATTGGAAAACCTGGAAACGGTCGAAGCATCCAGGTACGGGTGGAGGTTAAAGGTTATCCGACAAAGGGAATTGTGGATACTGGGGCAGATGTAACAGTTGTATCATCAGGATTGGCTGAGAAAATTGGTCTAGAATTTGATACTGCGACCACTGCCAGTCTTCTTAATGCAGAAATTGGAAAAGTGATGGAAGCAGCCTGCAACATTCCAGTCGAGATCAAAATTGGAAAATCGTCAATTAATTGGTATGTGTGTGTTGCCCCTATAAGAGATAACCTTCTGTTGGGAATGGACATTTTGGAGGCTCTTGATAGCATTGTAATGGCACGGCAAGGAGATCTTCCTGTCCAAGGGACACTGGTCCCGGGGCAAGAACGATCAGACTCAAAGTACCATGTAGCTCGAGTGTGCACCGACACCACAATTACTCTTCCATCTAGAAGTGAAACAATTATCTCAGCAAAAGTTGATAAACCCAGTGAAGACCTGATTGGAGTATTAGACCCAGCATCACTTGGGAATGGAGCGCAAACCGGTTCTGTACTTGTTGGAATGAATCCCAGAATTCCAGTCCGGATGCTTAATCCAACAGATCATACTATTGCAATGAAAGGTGGCACACACCTCAGTAAATTAATTGAGATGGATGCAGCAGCAGTGGAAGAACAAACTTCCTGTTTGGATTGGCCCACTGAGAAGCCAGAAGATTTAGAAGATGTTCCAAAGCATTTGCAACGACTGATTGCTGATTCATCTCAAAATCTGGATCAAGACCAAACAGAGAAGCAGGGATGCAGCTATACCAGGCAGGTGCTTTGTGGAAACTAACCAGTCTAACTGGGATGAACAATTGCCTCTCCTAACCGGAGCCTATAGAGCTACTCCACATACCAGTACCGGACTCACACCAAACCGCCTGATGCTTGGACGAGAGGTACGACTTCCCCAAGATGTTATCTTTAGTAAGCTGGTGGAAAGAGAGATTGATATAGGAGATTATGTCAATAAAATACAGGATTCGCTGCAGGCATGCCACCAGGTGGCAAGGCAAGCTCTAAAGGATGCAGCACGAATCCAGAAAAGGGGACATGACCTCCGTATAAATCAAACTTCATACGGCCCTGGAGATCTTGTCTATCTCCTCAATGAAGAAAGGACAAAGGGCAGGAGTCCAAAGTTACAGCCCCAATGGATCGGTCCATATGTCATCGTCAAACGCCATGGCCATGTTTTGTATGAGATTGAAAACTAGCAAGAAAACGCCGAACCTTGTAGTCTTCAGACAAGGAGCTAATTCCAGTAACAGAAGGAAGCAAGGACTCAGAGGAGATAACCTCTGAGGAAAACAGTGCTTACCAGGGAGTCGGTTCTGCGAGGACACAGTGTCCCGTTGACTCGATCTCTACTGACAGTACGTGAGAAAATTTGTGCCTGACAACAGACCCAGTTGATGACCAGTTGGATGTGAAAAAGGCTGAATGTCCACCTCAGACCAGATCGCGCTATGGAAGGCCTTTAAGGACACCGAAATGGTTACAGGACTGAGTTTTAAAAGAGGGAGCAGTGTAGTGATCTAGGATGCATTGCTGTGTGTCGCGGAACATTTTAAATTTGCCGCTTTTACGTGTATGCATGTGCGCATGTCAACGCGGAATAAACGAGTCTTCACGGTCAGCCGTTGTTGTTGCGTTGTTTGTTTCTCGTGGTGCCAAACGGGACCCACAACGCATTGCAGACGAGGTAATATCGCCGTGAGGCATCACAATATTTTGCCCTAGTTTTATGGTATTTTAGTTTGAATTATGCTTATGTTGCCATGTTGGTACTTTCCCGATGTTTATTGAGAAAAATGTAAACAGCAATGGAAAATAGACAAACTAACGAATTGAACGGAGTAAAACATCACACACAATACAACAATATGAACATGTCGATACGTTTCCACAATTGAAACTTCCATTTAACAAGCGCAAAGAATGAAAAAGGCACCAGGTGACCCTGTAATTTTCATATATTAGATGCTTTTAGAAAAGTGTCAAGTGTATATTCTTAACCGTATCATAATTCGAATGAATTAAACCATGTCATGCAGGTTTCTACAAACCTTGGCGTCTACCACGTACAGTCCCACAGATTGTACAAAAGACACACAAGTGAATATTCTCATTTAAAGATTTAGGATCGCGTACAGTAGAGCAAAACAATATATCTAAACAAGCGCGTTTTGCCTCGTTTTAAAATACAACATGTCTTAGTTAAAGAGCAACTGTACTTCTATATGATATATTCAGGTCACTTAGAAACAAATTATTACATTTGTGAATTACTTGTATGATTAGTAGAGGAGATGTTTCAGTCCATATGATTAGGTTTTGATTATATAAAGGGCATAATTTCAACATTTTTTACTTTTCTATCTGTCATTATTCCGTAACTTCATCACTTGATGTAGTCTTCCGAATTTCCAACGGTAGTATAACCATTAATGTTAAGTGAACAGACCTAGTTGGTAGCCAAAGCCTTGAAAACGCAATTGTAAAGTACAACTCGCACTTCATTTCCCTATAATGTCTTTGTTCGTGATTGCTCGTCCAAGCAACAACCAAGTCTTAGAGGAAAATGTGAAAATATATACTCGAGGGATAAAGAAACGGAGGGTGACATCATTTGCAATATCTAGCGCCCACATTGATAAAAAACAATGAAAATCGGCCAATCAACTATATAGGTTACAAAGCACGTGGTTCCGTATCGAATGTTGCATTATTGTATTGCGTGACGATATCTTCCGGGGAAAGCATGGAACGGGAACATCTCAAGCACGGCAGTGTTATGACATTGACTTACACTGCTGGTTATAACATTAGGTAGTCTTTATTGAAACACATATTTTTCCGATATTTTGATTAATTTCTGTTAGCATTAAATAATGTAATAACTGAAAGGTCAGGCCATTGCGATAATTATGCAACGACATAGGCAAATACAGTTGCCAGGCATTTCGGTGTCTATATTTGCACAATAGAACGCCTTGTTAGAAGTCTAAGGAAAATTGAGCGACTTTCTGACAGACCTAGATATAGGCGTCCGCTCGTGAAGTCACAAGGTCAGGACAGGTTTATTCGCATTTGCGCCATCGGCACCTCAGTGCCACTGAATCTGCCCTTCATACCAAAGGTACTCATAACCGTCCTATCAATACAAAAAACTGTAAGGATACTATTGCTTATTGGTCTGCGCGCATGTCACCTATTTGTAGGGCTACCCTTACCCATTGGACTAGCCGTCATACAGCCCCGACCTATTCCATATTTAGCACTTGTAGGACCATCTGTATAGACATGTTCGACGACGCCAGCCTCCCCTTGCTACTCTGGCATAACTGAGAGTAGCCCTCTCGGAAAATGGGCAAACGTTCCAATGAGGAGGATAAACTCATTCATGAACTCCATAACTAGGAGAATCAGGGCTGTGAGGAGAGCGAATGAGGGACATACGCGGTACTGACTAGTCTCACAATCAGTCCATTTCGATTTCAATTCCCTTGGTTATTACTAAATCAATCACCAGATACAAATCGTTGATTTTTCGTTCTGTATGGATTGATGTTCATTCTTACTTAAAGAAATTGAACATTATACTCAACGTCTTGCCTAGAATTATCTTCAAAATTTACGCTGCGTTTCTGTATCCCTTGAGTATATGATAATTATGATAAATCATTCAAAATATAATCAGACACTTCCTATAATCTATTTTAAAATATGTTTTAGATTCAGCCTTCCAAACAAAACAATACGGAGACCGAACAGTGAAATCTTCTTTAAAGAGTTTTTGTTTGCGAATCTTTCAAAAACAAATACAAAGCTTACCGCTGAAAAAGGCCATTATTCCACCTCTGTGGATTTCAAATATTTTAACGAGCATCCAACACCTTCCGGAAAACATGAAAACTGGATACATGTGGCACTTAATGCTTTAACGGTTTCAAATGATTTTACAACCGCCAATGTCATCTGAGGATGTGTGTCAAAAGGGTCACCACAAGTTGAATGTAAAACAGAACAGGAAAAACAACAGGAAGACGAAAAATTTTAAAAAAATGAATAAATAAATTAAATATATAAGTTTGGGACAGAACATCAACTTGTGGTTTCTTCAATGTACTCATAATAAAAAGTAAGATTCTGCTAGGGATCCTTTTTCGCCTTTATGACATATACAAGAATACAGTAGAACATTTGCCTGTACTCGTCGATGTCCTCACAAGAGAAATCACCGCCGACATGCAAGAGCTACCATACAATAAGTCACCTTCACGAAAATACAGTACGATACACAGACATATCCATTCGTGGTTCCCGTACCTGTTTGAAACATATATCTGTGCTAGGTCATTCATTAGTGAAAACCACATGTCTGGTTGAAATATTAATGAAATTATTAATCAAATTAACATCGGTTGCGTCGAGCAAAATCCTACATGGGAACATAAACTTTTTGCTGTTATTTATTAAGTTATGTTTTGCATAGCATTTCATTTCATGAACACCATTTCATGTATCTTTCCTCTGTGTTACACTAATTTATATAATTGATACTTACAACTACGAACATGTCATATGTAACAGCTGCGCTTCGTCTGAGTTTGTTCCTAAAGGCTGTGTCCTTTCGAATTCGATAAGGAAGTGTTTTTTGTATGTTTCCATGCTGTAAATGTTCTTCCTCTAATGTCCCGTGTTTCTTCTCATTTACATCCTCGTTAGACGACTGCATTTCAAACCGGTTGTTATTCTGTGTTCTAAGTCTTTCCAGTGGTCAATATACTTATCTATTGAAGAAATTATCAGTAATTGCAGATCTTTGTTGTCATTTAACCGTGTTTGATTTTCACAACGCCTGTACAAAATCTCGGTAATCGGTTAAAAATGCTTTCTTCTTATATTCTTGTTACTGAAAAATATGTTTGTTTCGTTCATAAAAAATAACGACGTACCGGATCATATACTCTTCATACACCCCAATTGCTTTCACGACCTAAGTGTATAATTGCTAATATTCTTCTTTCAGCTGTACCGACCTACAAGCGACGGATGATAATTTTCTATTTATATTCTGTTCAGATCTGAACTCACGATCTACGACACTCTATGTAAAAGCCTCCCTTTACAACAACATGCATCTATGACACCTCCAATGCACAGCTATCATACAAGTACTAATCAGTATCAAATCATCAATATTCACCGCTTCACTATTTTCCAATAAATATCAAATATTGCTCCAGTTTTGTACAGGTCTAATCCAACGTTGGTTCAGTCTACTTTAAATAGGTAACAAAGAAAAACACCTGGTAGTAAATGTTAACGGTGTTCACAATCACGAGATCATCGTTCGAAAAATGAATAATGTATTTTTATTGAAACAGAATCAAATATGCATGTTCGAGGACCTGTCCTGCTATCGAAACGACGAGTAGATTTTCAGTCGAATGTGGACGAGCTCTAGCAATCAGGGAGGGATCTGAATCACAAAGTCGTGATTAATGCATAAAGCGTGTACACGGATACGTGTACGTATGCGATAGTTTGCAGCAGTTGTATCTAGACATCAAACCAGAAATCCGAGCTATCGAACAGGACCTTGCACGATGATGTCTTGATCGAAAGAGATTACCTCACCATGTAGACATCAAAGCAATGCAAAACAACGGTTTAAATGATAAAAAATCGCATGCTTCTTTCATATAACTCAGGACATTGATATATTAGATCTTTAGTGGTTTTCTGTTTCGTTGTTGATTAATGTTTAATGATAAACAACTTCGTATCCTCTGTGTTCTCCATGAAAAAATGTCGATAGTTTCCTACTGTTTTTAGACGGGGTCGCCCTGCAAAAACCCGTTCATAATCTCATTTAACGCTATACAAAAGGCGCGTACAATGAATGCTACAACACATTTTGATTCAAATTTCACGGTCAAGAACACAAGAACAAATGCACAAAATGGTTTGTGATATTGGTTTCCTGACAAAAGGTAAACTGCCTCAGGTACGAACCACACACCTTGGATCTCCAACTGCTGCGGATTGCAATAACAGATAATATACCAACTGAACTATCGAAGCCTGTGATACAGCGTAACCAGCGTGAACTGTGAACATACAACAAGGTAACCTGTAAATACCAATTACTAGGTGACCTATATCGGTACTTGGTGTGACGCGATCGGATATGCATTCCGTATATTCACGTACTAACATTTAACACACTACAGTAAGGATAATATCTTTTATTTTGAGGACTTACGTCCTTGAAACAGCTTGTATCAAATGATAACCTTGCTCATACTAATGACGAACGGTATCATATTGAATAATGCTCCCTGAATCGGTAGCATGACACCAAGTCAGGTCACAGGAATTGAAAAAGAACTCCGGTGCTGCACCGATATATCTAAATTTCGTTTACGCTGACACTTGGCATTGTTAGCAAACTTATTATAAAATTTACTGAATTTTATGCCGGACGGATTATATACAAATCTTGGCACTTATCACTTTAAGGTTTCAGTAAGTCCTTCGAAAATACCAGCATGTCAACATGATTATGATAAAAACTCAATACAACTAAGGCAATATATGAACAACAAAATTTACGTAGTCTCCTGAATGAGTACAAGGAAAAGCAGACCAGGTATTCCGGAAGAGTAGGCGTCTTCTAATCTATCGACGATGACAACCATGTAAATCTTGGTCAGTCCTAATTAGTAATGTCACGTTCTCAAATGAGAACAAGTTATGGATCATTGAGGAATATTTATTCCTGGAAAAATATGAATATGCTCAGTGTGGAATCGAATTTTTGTCTGATTACATTAAAAGTTAGTTACATTTTTTAAGGAGCTACTGATAAAATCGACTTAAAAACTGAACAGGTCAAGTATGGGTGTTTATTATACATAACATACATTGAGTCTCTGTTGATTTTAAAGACGACAATCATTGGCCAGTTTGGAGCTTGACATTTTAAGTTTTCTATCGCAAATACTGACGAACGGATGCATGGGTATCGTTGAAGTAATTAGATCAAAACGTTCACTATATATGTATCCCAGGCGTGCATACTAAATATAAACTAAGATTTGATATAAATGATGGCTACATATGTAACTTATTTGGTTTTGATTAAGTAAAGTATTATAGCCTTGGCAGAGAGAATGACAAAACAAGTTCAGTGAAGTCAAGTGACACATAAGTGTCCATGAGACGAAAATGTTTGTGATGTTTATCAACGTATTATGCTTGTTAAAAATCACATTTCTCGCTGACGCGGTAAAATCTGTCAACAGACTATTGGAATACCTCGGGGAATAATCTGTGCCTTTCTTTTGGCTGTTGCATGTACCATAATCAATGCACGGATAAATACACATTTAGGTTATTTTTTATAGAGGTAAAAGAATCACTATCAAACCCACACGTGTATACAACCGTCAAACGCCTAAGTACACATAAGCTTGCAGCCGACAAATGAGCATATGATCTACACATATTTACACTGTTCCCATCTCGATCGCCTAAGAGTTAGATGGACTAGAATATCTGTATTCAGTGATAAGATTCATGGATGACAGCTTTTACGTTTGAGTTCGACTGGACACCTCACAGGTATGATTGTCGGCTGGGTTTTATTATATGGGTTTATCTATATTTACTTCTTTGTTTAGCGAGCAAAACAATATACTTCAACGTCACACTACTGTAATCAAGCACGTGATCTTATATACACACACACATATATATATATATATATATATATACATTATTAATGTAGTTCAGCTGTTAAGTATCTATGTCTGAGGGATATTAATTCCGTCGATATTAATTGTTAGCCGGATTGATCACGTGTACATACACATCATATCTTAATCTGTGTGTTTCGAAGCTGAAAACGGCATCGTGACAAGCTATAATAAACACATATGTTTCCAAGTTGTTTTCAATAATTCACATCTTTTATTGACCGATCATCCCAGTCAACCTGTGATTGTGACTATGTAGTCTAGTAGTGTCGACATATTTCATGCGTAGGGAAGTAATGTTTCTTTGACCTACCATTTCAAAAGCAGTCTGCTATTTAACATAACTAGCGTTTTGCACGCTCCAGTGCCTTTACCACATTTAAGGTATGATACAATCATATAGTAATTTGTACTGTAATTATCCTCTTGTTTGATAGATGTAATGCAACATACACTTCATAACTGTGAAATATGGAAAATCTTTTTATTGTTTTGATATCCTTTTTAGCATATTCTGACACTTTTAAAAATTATTTGACGTTGTTTAACCAAAATAGGGACACACAAGACTACCCAGTTAATGTACTTTACAAGTGACAGCTGGTAAACATGTTTATTATGAAAAAAGTGTTAGTCGGTCGAAGTATCAAAGCTGTCTCAATCTGTATACATCTACAACAATTATGACTACACGTCAACAAGTTACATTTCAAACAAGTTTGTCTGGTAAGTTGATGCCCGAGGATTGATGGCATGATGTAAGCGGTATGTCTATACATAAGGACAAGGCGAGTTCATGTGACATTCGCAATTGATTATACATTCATGTGAATTTGAAAACAGCATTTTAACAAAATATTGAGTTCGTCTGAGTTTTTTTAGTCACTTCAGTTTGATAATCACTGTGGAGGTAGGTTATAATATTTCATTTATCTAACCCAAAGCAACGTGTTACTAATGTCAGCTTAAAGTTACTTAAAACTCTCAGTTATCTGCTTTATTAAATACAAATGTTCATCAATTGTTTATACATGTTTATGTCAAACAGCATCATTATTTATGGTAAAGCTAGCAATGCACAATGATTGTAGATATGAATTGACTTGTCTCATTATTCGCGACAGAAAATATGTTTTCTTAACTATGTAAATTATCTTTTGCTGCTTTTCAATTTCTGTAAATCAGAATAGTATAATGATTCATATTCCTGTATAAAGGGTTCCTTTATACTTCAGCTGTATTTAAAGACATTATTAACAAATTTGTCTTTACAAGAAACCTCAAAATGGCACGAATACCTTTAGTGGTTACATGCTCTAGAGTTCACAGTACATGTACTGATCATGTTTATTTTGAGATGGTGCCCCGTGAGTGACCTCGGGGTCAGCCGACATTATCCCGAAAATTGTTGATATTATTGCGATGTAACAACCGACATTTGTTCTGTTCAAACACGTTTTAGGAAGTGGTTTATGAAATTCTATATAATGGAGTACTTGACGGCTTTTGAAGTTTGATAATCCAAGATATTGTTTAAAAAAAAAAAAAAACACCCTTTTAATCTAAACTAGGATAGCTGATATTCAGTGCCAGAGGTAATGCGTCCTGCTCAAGGACACCGACAGCGTAGTCAGAATGATCCGAACTAGCTAAGCCTAAATAAATAAAATACCAAGGACACAACTTTCACGATTGGTATTTAAAACAGGTTAAACGTATTATCTGAGTCTATTTTTATATGACATTGTACTACTTTGTACCGGGTAAAGGGATATCATTTGAAAAAAAAAAAAAAAACGAAAGCCATGTTTCAGGCCAAATAATGAGACTAAATTCAAATATTCACGTATATCTTTCATCCAGATATGAATAGGATGTTTAACATATACTGCGGAGTTGAAATTCATTTGGCGGAAAGCCCTTTGTAAAAATCGTCTATCACATTCAAATTACGATTTAAGGGAAACCTTTAACTATTGCCTTTGCTTCAGGTCTTTTGCTGATATGTTAATGATGCATTGAATTACATTGACTATAAAACCAATTCGGCGTAAGCGGTTGGTGACCAAAACTGACAAACCCGAATTCAATTTGTTTACGAATGTCATGCTATGATATATATGCGAGAACGAGATAAATAAACTGATGAGATTTATTCAAACTTGTGAATCAGAAATGACACATTTTGTATTTTATAGTCGAAATAATTGATCAAATATATATCAAGATACTTTTGATATGTCTACTGATGAGAGATTTTCCTGATGCAATGCTATTTGAAAAAAATGTCACAAATCATAAAATATCGCGGATGCGTTCACCTTTAAATGACCTTAGTTAATAGGACATTAAATTGTACAAGCCTATACCACATCGTGGCAGAAATATTAATTGCAAATATCTCCAACGCCTAGGTTGCTTGATGGTACAGAAGGTAACGTAAAGTACCCACCTGCCTTTTTAGCCGGTAAAGATCAATTGGACAGGAATCGATATAAGGTCGTTTGCCTGACCATGTGTTTTCACTGTGTGCTATGGTTTCCTTACCCATTGCGGCCAGGATAACACGAGCAATTATTATAAGATAATGGTCTTATTTGAAAAATAATAATATTCAAAGTTAATACATTGAAAACCTAGCCTTACGTACATTGTAAATGTTTAATTGTGTGACACTTCAAACAACAATGGTATCAAACGGGCACTGAAGTATGGCTCAAAAAGGACCTCAAGAACAGCGAACTCAGTATCAATGTAGATAAAAGGCAATGAGCATGTTACCCATCAAATCGAACAGCATTAAAACCACTAAGAAATGTTCACCTTTTTCTCCTGTATCACATATCCTGATTCACATTTACCTAGGAAAATTTATCCAAAAAATGCACAGTCATATTTGGGAGCAGTTTTAGTTCTATGTAGAAAGGTAATTACTCTCATCATAGTAAGAGCAATTCTCCAGGTTTCCTGCAAGGACACATTTTGGTAGGTAGTTGATGACCTCCTCAGCGTTAAATGTGACTGGTAAGTCAGTGATCATAATGATGTTGCGGGGTGGTGTGTCTCACCGTGTCATGGTTAGGAAATCTCATCCATCAGTTGTCTCTACCGTATCTAAATTTGTATTGAAACTTGCTTTTCACGTTTTGTTTTTAGTACAATCTTCAGTGTGATTGCACTATAGCGGAGTCCGTCAGTGCACGAATACTCCGTGGACACTGTTCATTTTACCCTATTACAAGGGCGTAAACTTAAATGCCTATCACATCGAACATTTGCAAAAGACACACAAGTGAATAAGACCTTTAAATACAACTTTATGATTTAATCTAGTTAATTACTGTTCATTTATATTTTTTAGGTTTTGACTGAAAATGGAAAATGCAGAGAGCGGTTGCGAATATAAGAACGAAAATGGAATTTCCTTATTAGGCAGCGATTCAAAGAGAAAATTTACCAACGCGAATGATAACGGCGGCGCTATATACAGATATATGCACGACTCTTCGTTTCGGTTGAAAATACAGCTTAGTGTGTGCATCGGGTATCTAGCTTTCACGTTGGTAAGCAGGATGATTGATTGTGAATTGCTGTATCAGTTCACCTAACCTTTTTATTCTCAGTTGGTATTACATAAATACTGATCATATTATTTATGCCTTTTTTTCCTGCTATTTACTGTATTGTGCGATGCTGCTATCTTATACCATCTCTTCCTCATCTGGTTATTATTATCATTATCATCTGAGTTCAATAACTATTTCATGAATCTCGAAATTCGGAAAAATAAATTGCAAAAGAAGATTAATCATAGTAAACAGTATATGTTGGAATCTGATGTTGAAATTGCCATTAGGACTCACGCAACTAAATCAACCAACTACTGGGATTCTGTTTTGTCTCGGTAGAGTCGCTATAATTTATGTCTTTAACACTATTTCAGTATATTGTGGTTGCTTTAGACGGGCGTATCTGAAATTGTCTATACATTGGGTAGTTATTTTCACTTGTAAACTTCCAGTTGTTGACTTCAGAGGTTCATGATAGTCCGTGGTGTTATCTAACCTTACTAACTTAGGTCATTTGTAGCCTTTGACAGACATGATAGTACGTGGTGGTATCTAACCTTACTAACTTAGGTCATTTGTAGCCTTTGACAGACATGATAGTACGTCGTGGTATCTAACCTTACTAACTTAGGTCATTTGTAGCCTTTGACAGACATGATAGTCCGTGGTGTTATCTAACCTTACTAACTTAGGTCATTTGTAGCCTTTGACAGACATGATAGTACGTCGTGGTATCTAACCTTACTAACTTAGGTCATTTGTAGCCTTTGACAGACATGATAGTCCGTGGTGTTATCTAACCTTACTAACTTAGGTCATTTGTAGCCTTTGACAGACATGATAGTCCGTGGTGTTATCTAACCTTACTAACTTAGGTCATTTGTAGCCTTTGACAGACATGATTCTATGAATCTATACAGTTGTCTCTTGTGTCGAACTTTAATACGTTAAGCTTGGATGACAAGTGATGACATATAGTGATTGATTTAGTTGTACTAGTCCTTTATATCATTTGATAAAAAACAAATTGTGGTATGTGACAATGTATATTAAGATTAATAGCTATGTGGCTATCTGGCTACGGTTCATTGCTTAAATATGCATCAAACAAAATGGTTGATTTAATACAGATATTAGATGAAAATCTTCTCTAACTATTACATATTTATGTTATTTAACCTAGATAAGGAATAAAAACGATAACTGAATTATTAGTAGTCTAACACTCTTTTTTCTACTTTTACCATTTGCTTATTTATCTATTTTTCAGGGATGGGTCAAAGGTCAGGTTGGTCCAACATTTCCTGACATTCTCCAAATAACCGGAACGGATCTAGAACGAGGCTCCGCGTTCATTACGTCATTCTATGTTGGGAGGATTGTGGGATCGCTGTCGGGTGTACTGTACGACAGGTGCAACAAACATCTGTTCTTGGCGACCGTCTGCATGGCTAATGGTATCGTAGTAGCGCTCATCCCCTGGTGTAGTATGTTCGAACCGATGGTCGCCGTATATCTCTTACATGGTGCATTTGCAGCGGCCATGGATGTTGGTAAGGGACTAAAACTTCCATCTAAAGTACATAGTACATCAGTAAAATTTATGGACTTACTTACATACTACAGAATTCATTACAAATAATAGAAAAAAAAAAAAAAACATTTGTAATATTGATTGCTGGTTTGGAAAAACGTTTTAGACAAAGTGCAAAACAGTTTTATTTTCTAAATAATGTCTTACTTCCTCAAAAATTATGTTTTAAATATCTTTTTTTGACATACCAGAAAATCCCAAACAACTTCAATCATTATGATATAGAATGTACTGAATATTACTTGTTACGTAGTTTTCACAATGTGCTCGTTAGAATTTTTTTTACAAAGTACCCAGTGTTATACAGTATGATTAATTTCACTTTCTTCTTTAAACAGGCTCTACGGCGACATCTTTCTCAGTGTGGGGCCGATCAAGTCTTGTGTTTTATCAGGCCTACCAATTCTTTGTTTCAATTGGCGGAATTTTGTCCCCATTGGCAGTTGCTCCGTTTCTTGGCAAGTCAGCTCATATGCCAATGGGCACTGGATTTAACAGGTCTAGTAGCATCGCAACCATCAACTCATCGTCTCTTGATATGTTTCAAGCGCCAAACATCACCTTTGCGAGTTTAAGGAGTGCAACAATCAATGGTTCAAATTTTGACACAGAAGGCACTACAGAGGAGTCTATCCTGTACATAGCGTATTTTATAGCGGCCGTTTTGGTGTTTGTGTCAGGGGTGCCCTTCATTTTCTTCTGCAGAACATCAATGAAAACAGAGGAAGAGAATATTGTGATTGAAAATTCCCCTGAAAAAGAAATCAGCGACGGAAAAACATCTCGAAAAGATTTTAGCAAAACAGCAAAAAATATGGCAATTTTAAACATGTGTGTATTTAGTGGTTTATACACAGCGGTGGAGTTAGGCATGGGAAATTTTTTGACAGTTTTTTGTCTGCGACATATGAAATGGTCTAAGTTGAACAGTGTGTTTGCTGTTTCAATATTTTATTTGCTCTTTATGATTGGTCGGCTTTTTGGGATTGTCATTGTAAAATTCTTCAAATCTTTAAAAATATTGGGGTTTTGTATGATAATGACTATCATATCGTTTACAATTTTTCTCATATGTGCCTTCTACTTGTCCGAAATTGGGGTGTGGGTGTGTACTGGTGCAGCTGGTCTTTCGGTATCCATACTCTTTCCAACAGCAGTATCATGGACAAATAAGGCAATAGCACCAATGCTTGGTACGGTATCCACTCTTGTATTTGTGACATCATATATGGGGCCCTTCATCAATCCTCCACTCATGAGCTTCTTGATGGAGTCCTACGATTACATGTGGTTTTGTTATATTCTCCTGCTTGAGTGTGTCTTGATGTTCCTTACATACTTGGTTATGGTGTGGTTTGGAAGGAGACGCAGAAACGACGTTGTTTTATGTAAGGAATTTGAAAAATGAAATGTTTGTTTTTATGGTAGATATGGATCTATTTTTATTTCTATTTTTTATACATATAATATCTTTTGAATATATGTATCTGTTATTGTAAGAAGTATATACTTTTTAAACAAATTGCTTAAACAGATTAAATTAAAATTTCAAATCAACTCTAAACAAAGTATAATATATGACAATTGCGCGCCCAAACAACTTCATTGCCGTAAATTGTTACTTTTTGCGTAGTATATTTTGTCATAGATGAGCATTAATTTGACATATTTAATTATTACCAAATTGCCATATACTATACACCATATAGCTATATATTGATTCTGTCTGCTGATTCTTGATTCGTTTTGTACTCATATGATGGTTCAATCTTCCAGTAACCCTGACATTAATTTATCTGCGTTGTGACAATGTTTCGAACCGAAAACTCAGGAGTAGTGTATAGAATTGGTTGATAATTAAATGAAACAATATTGTTTTCAATGTGTTTAGTACAATTTTTTTCTTTGTTGTCCTGGTTATATTTATATTGTATTCAGAATAATGATGTAAAATATTTTCAAGTTTTTATAAAAGACATCAGTAGTTTTTTTTCCTGCAACATTATGTAAATGGCTACTCCAAAATGTTGTTCAGTATATTTGAATACTTTGGCTGTATCATTATAGTGTCCAGTTTTGATGTTTCATTATAATTATTATATTTTTTATCTTCGTATTTACATAATCAGATGTCAAAATGCACATCATTTGTACTGAAGCTTTGTTAAAACGATTCATTGTGTTTACGTATGATTTGCAACAATTAAAAAATGAATTGAAGAAATGAAATGAATAAAAAAAGGTACAGAAAAAATGAAAAATAATTGGTTGTACAACATAAAGTCAAATGCATCAAACAAACAGCAAAGCCTGAAAGAGTATGTTCAGTGTGTATTCAGTCATGTGTTTCAATTTTTATGTAGTATATGCGTGTATGTAAAATGTGTGTAAAAGTGTATATTTTCTCGGAATATGTTGCGAAGTCGTGATTTCATCATAATTTCCAGTGTTGATGGAAAATTTCTTTTGACAGAAATAAAAATCATAACAAAAACAAAAAACAACATAGAAATGAAATCAAAAACAGAATACGAAACAATTACTAAAGAGAAGAGAAATAAAAAAAATGAATTTTTCAATTAATGCATTTTTTGTTCGTAGAACTAACTGTTAAGCAACTAAGAAATCGTAAACGTTACATTTGTTCCAAATTCCTACATTTGTTATATCCCTTACTTGATGGCTGGCACTGAATGTCAGATTTATATACTATTATCACTAATGAACTTGATATGTATTATTTGGTACCACGAACTATGAGAAGAGAGAAATACATATAAGATATAGCTATTTTAAAACTTAAAAAAATAATTAAAACTCCTTTACATCACAACAACACTATGATGGCTGAGTGGTTAAGGCGTCAGGGGGTCTTTATCACTAGCCCTTAATCTCTGAGTCGCGGGTTCGAGACCTACGTTCAGCAGTCGCTAGGTACTGGCCGCAGGTTGGCGTTTTTTCTCCAATGACTTGACTTTCATCTTCTTCCCACCCCTGGAACGTCCTTAAATGACAGTGAACCTTAATGGGACCTAAAGCAACAATAATTAATTGTGGAGTAAACCATGGATTGATCAAACAATAGGAAAAGCTAAATATGAAACCCATTCAAATGATTATGAGGACATGAAACATAAATTGTGGTCGCGTTTTGCTGTCATTTTACGTTTACAATATATAAAAACAGACTGTCTAAATATAATCTCTTAATGAAGTTTATTATTTTTCACTTCAGTTGATTCATTCTCATTTTTCTTAGATTTTCTCAATGTTATATTGATCAAATATGAAAGTAGATAAAGGGGAATAACTCAAATAAAAATGCAATATTCGTGTATAACTCTCTGTTCAGTCCTAAACTGAAACCAGAAATTCTAACTACTTGGCATCGTATGATAAAATAATTAAACAAAAATTAACATGATCGTTATCATAACCGGCTCCATTATCCCACTGGCGATAGGAAATTCGTTGTGTTATTCATTGCGGCAATGGAGTGATATCCGCATCATAATAACCATTGTCCCCTGTGCGAGGCTGGAATGGACAGAATGGGAGATATCGCATGATATTATGCGACAGCCACTTCCTTGGCACGAGAGGTTGGTAAACTTCCAATCCCTCGCTGTATTGGCTATTTTTAGCCTCGTCCGGTTTTAACCACCCAGCTATTCCTCTTTCCTCTACAGTTCCTGATGGCACAAAGCAAAAACATATTTCAAAGATATCAAATCATAAATGTATCTACAAACTACAAAGACTGTTTTATTTAGTTGTTAACGAGACTATGGAGACAGTACCAATGATGATCTGGACAGTAGACAATACTTTTCTCATTTACTGCACTTATTTACGTTCATAGGGAACAATCGACGAAAACTGTAACTTTACTCATTTCACATCGCACTTACCTCAAATATCTTAATTATGAGTTCTTTATTTGTTTATTCTTTTACTCATTTCATTTTGTAGGGAACATTTTATAGTGTCCTTACAAATAATGTTTTATCTCGGACAGCGTGGCGTTACATTCCACTTGGTCACTCGTCACACCTCGGCCGATTCCGTAAATATATAATCAGTAGTTACCGGAATCAGCCGACGTTAGACGAATGACTGCCCGGTCATATCATACTGACAAAGGATGGACACTTCTTTACTACCGACTCATTTTAGATATATGTTAAGCAAATAAAGAATTCTTGCATGAAAATGCGTCATAGATATTCAGTATATTGTATATAAAAACAAATGAATCATACCAGGCACTGTGTTATCGAGGAAGCACGCTAGAATTCCGCAGCACAGATTTGGGTTGGCCATGAGGTTTTTTATAATGCTATCACGGTAGGCATTGCCTAAATGGAAACGGATAAGGTTATTTACAATAGAAACAGCTAATTGAATACATAGTGGGTTTTCATTGTACCTAATAACAGTTTTATACCGTGTATCATTAATTCTATTGCGTTTGGTATTCCTCAAATCAAGATGCTAGAATTTGTAATCGAATTTTGAGAAAATTGAGAGATATCCATCCCACAGTGCTAATATAAATCCGTTACTTCATGAAATTGACAAAAAAGCAACTGGATAAAGATATCAGATGACAAACACCAATAGAAAAAGCCTAGTCGTCTTGAAAGGAATCAATGTAAAACTTACAGAGCGAATTTCCCGAGAGGTTTGCCACCAAGGACAATTTGATAGTGAGATAAATACGAGGTCAACGTATTGTACACGTAATGATTGTGTCTTCTTGATAATAGGATGATAAAACCAGAAATTTGATGAATAAAACATTGTTATTCAGAAAAACTCAACCGCGTGTCATAACACTGTGCTTTAAATTTGCAAACAGATTGAGACAGAATTAATTATAATATAGCCTGCTAAACTGTCACAATTTGTGACGGGTTCAGTGTTATTTGTAGTTATGATTCATGTCTTGTCATAACAGGATACATTTTACAATGCTCATTTCATTCATTATTGTAAACGTACATAATTTATTGCGCAAATTTGTCATTGCACTCTTTATTCATGAAGTGATGATACGATATTAAATTGATAGTGCAGAAATAAGTATGTATACTGTGTCAACCTGTGTTGATGTCCTCCGGGTTGTGCTCCAGCCAGTACGGTATCATTATTCCGACAAGTAAGGCGATGCCTATGATGGCTATATTACGGGTTGATGATAACGAGACAGCATGGAGGTTCGACAATATGATGCCGTTGAACATGCCGTACATGATGATCATTGCACCCCCTAAGACCGGATAGGGCATGGTGATGAAAGCAGCGGAAACCTTGCCCACTACACCGAAGATCATGTATATTACACCTACCCATATAAACACATTCCGACTTGCCACCTGTTAACAAACATTTAAAATATATTGTACTCTTGAATGGTATGCTACGTGTTTTAAAACGTAATTTTTACAATGGCAATATAGAAAACGATTGTACTATTTACGAGTGTCGTCAATGTAAAAACATGCCCTTCCGGAACACCTATTTTTACAGGCTTTCTTGTGCAATATTCTTTATTAAGGTTTTACTAACATGCCGATATCTTCTTCTCTTGTTTCAGCTTTGAGACATGAACCTGAACTATCTGATCGGCATAAGTCAGATTTTACATATGATACACAACTCAATAACATCATATAATAAAAGTTAGATAAGAAACAGTAGAGCTAAAGTATGAATTTAACTCCATCATACAGATATTTCATCCATCTAGGACTTGCCATTAATGCTAACAGCCTAAATGAAACCCAAACTGGAATGTGAAAAGTTAGATGGGGAGGTTAAATGACGAAAATCCAGAAAAAAACCAACGTGGCAATATGATCATTATTCAAACTCCAATTCTATAAAACTAGAGTTAAATGTGAACAAAAGAAATATTTACACGGAGACTCCTGAAAAAGTACAAGGAGAATAAGACCAGGCGTTCCGGAAGAGTAAGCGTCTTCTGCTTCATCGATGACACCCTCAATGTAAACCTTGTTCAATCAAAGTAATAAATGTCACGTTCTCAAATAAGAACAAGGCATATCTAACGAGCATCAAATACGTCCAGTTTCATGGTGCACAAAGAAAATGAATATTTCTCAATGAGATCACTATGGCGACTATAAAACTTCCCCATATTTTTTATATCATCCTGCATCTTTTGTACCCTTGTGATACGAGTGTGTCAATCAGTTGACGAATTCTTGCGTGAAAATCGTGATAGTGGGAACAGACTCTTGAATATCGAAATCATAACGTTCATCGTACAGCTTGGTGAAAAACAGTCCATGTTGGTTTCGTTCTAGAAAAAGACCGAGATAAGCAGCCGATGTAGAAAAGTCTATTATGTCTGATTTCCAGTTCTGGTGGATATATATGATGAATGTAGTCAATACATTTCTTGTTATTTTAAGACAAGACGTAATCTATATATATCTGAAGGTGATATTAAACGATTTCGCAAGGTCTTTGTGACCTGTTACCATAAGTTCTACAATGAATAGTCTCGTTTGAAAAAAAAAACAAGTCAGCAGAGAGGCGCAGTTGGTTCCCATAGGTATGCTAACAGTCTGTTGGAAGATCTTACCACCAAACCCGAGATATTGTCAACCAAACTTGATCATATTTATGATTTCCTCCTTCGTATGTTTCGTATTTGATTTGAACGTAAATTTTACGAAATACCCTTCAGTATAGTTCACAACCATATATTTATACCGTCGTTTACCTTTCTTGGAGAAGAAAGCTCTCATAACAAGAGAATGCATATAAGGTTCACAAAAGCAACAGTCAGTACAAAGACAATATTGCTCTTAAGCTTGACCACTTTTTGCAGTCATTCTGGTTTTGGCTTGGTTTGGAAATATTTTATTTTTTTTAATCAAAGCATTAGGCACAAGTTATATCAACTCATTTAACCATCTCCTAAACAAATACATACAGTAATATTATACAAATGAATTACGTGACAACAAAGCGACCAAGCCCAAGATATGAACCCATTAATCAATTCTAAAGTAAATATTTGAATTTTGAGCCCAATGACTTACTAGCCCAGTAATTGTAATTGTATTGGCCAATTGATATTTGTTTATAGATGGTTTACTCACTCTTGTAACACCAACTGCGCCAATATTCGCACCGATTGTACTTGTTGCGTGTCCGCACCCAACAGCGCCCGATAACGCACTACAAATTCCCTCCACTGCGATTCCTCGATTTATGCTATGCGCAGCTGGTGGGGGGACGTTACATGTTCGTGCGCATGCGTTGTAGTCACCAATGGAATCTAGGATTGATACTATTGTGCCAATCATGAAAGCTACAAAGAATCCAACGTTGACGTTCGGGGTGCCAAACTGATCTGAAAGATCAATTTTAAATTATCAGGAGATTAAAAATCCTAATTGTTTTCGCTCGCAAGTAAAAAAATAATCTGTATCACAGCAATTGGGATAGTCGTTTCTGCATGTTTTGACAAAATATTGGCATTTGCTATCATAAATCAGTTGGAGAAAACATTAATTGATTAGAGAATTATAATATTTCTTATAAGCTAAACGTAACAGAAATGCAATATTATTACTCGGATAAGGAACGCGAAACCATGTGGCATTCGTTATAATCCCGGCCCTGGCATCCGTTCTGGCAAGATATTCTACCTCCTTCGGATTATCTGTCAGTGCTCCGGCATGTGTCATTATGGCTGACACTGTCCATCCCACGAGCATACCGATCAGGATCTTAGGAGAAACAACAGTTATGCTCATAATTGATTATCTATATTTTCAGTAGTAACAGCTTCCATGGAAGTCATTGACATTCATTCATGCTTGCTTCTCATTATTGATTATTTATCATTTTGTTGACATGTGGTAGTGATTTATTGCGGTATATATGAATAGATTTTGCATTAGGATATAATGTCATTTTAAATTATTCTAGATGCACAGATAAAGATCCTACCGCGAACACTCTGTGTAAGGGGTACCAATACACGTGGAATCCCTTCTTTTTGGACCAGGCAGGACATGGCATGTTCAACTTACTCAAATACAGGGATAGAACGATCGAGGTTATTGCTGTCCTGGAAACAATAATAATAAAATTCATTATGATATGATCAAAGATTCATACATTTTGAAAAAAAACAACAACTGTAAGGTCATGATATTTGGCGAGGTTATCATTTTCATGATTCACGGGTTTTCTTGCCCGAAATATTCAAATGTCGATGAATTTTGTTCAGTTTAAACTTTTAATATTTATTAGTACATATTAGACAGGAAACCAGTAAATTGTTTACCAGTCACATCATAAGCATATTAACTGTTAAACGATCATTTTTGTGGGGCTTAAATTTTGTGGTTTTCCAAAAATACAAAATTTTGTTGGCATTTGATTTCGTTGAAAAACTTGCTCACAGAATTAGCTAATATTAAAATCTTTGTCAACTTTTAACAATTTATCAATTTGTCGACATCTAATATCAATAGATTTCAGCTGAACAAGTAGCGAGACTGGAGGTTGCTTATTTCATTCTGTTTACTTTATCACCCGATATGCAATGTTCCACTGTCATTACATACATCGGAATGTATTGTTGTGATGTCAAGAACGCATGGTAAATTGATTGTCTATATTCTATTTCACCATATTATTGAGACAATAATTCTAATATATGGAAAATGTATTTGTTACGAATTATTCAATATGCAGCATAAAACGAGTTGAGTAATATTAAGTGTCTCTCTTAATATTTTGTTCTGAAAACATAATTATTTTTACTTATAATTTCTTGAATATTTCCTGAACATTTAATACATAATGGATTTATAATTTTCAAATTGAGGCTAACAGACAAGTACTTACGTTAATTTGGAAGTAAATTCAACGAAATTATACATGTTAGATATACAAAAAATAAAATATTAAATGTCAAACGTCAGTTCATCTTATATATGCTATTATTATCATTATGCAAAATGAATAATTGTTTCACATTTAACAAATACAAAAGATTAACCACCGCTATACAAACACGAACGAAACATCACGTTTCGAAATGAAATAAAACCCCCGGAGTTTAATATTGCTTGGTTTCATTATAGCGGAGCATATAAACAATTAGCTAAATATATTTTAAACGAAGAAAACATGCTACGTATTCGTGAACAAAGTTAAGCAAAATGTAAAGTACCATATAGTCAAGCGTAAAATGCAAGTTAGAAAAAGAAGTAATTTTAAGATCAAAAGAAACTTTCCGTTTCCGAAATGCTTCGCAAATGCCTCCTATGATAACGAAATCTTCCGGTCAGCGTATTTGAGGAAGTGGTCGACATTTTAGTCCAATGCATCTATCTATACATACCTGTAGATTAGTCGCTTTACATCCAGATTGGAATAATGAAACTGGTTCGACAGGTTGCAGGCCTTGTATACCGCAGGATGAAAATACACGTTTCCAAGCAAGTCTTGGACTAAAATGTCTACCCCTTCTTTAGATACCAAGACCGGAAGAGCTCGTTAGCTTAGGAGGACGGTCACGATACGATTAATTCAATAAGTTAATATTCATTATCTAATACGGTTAAAATCCATCCAACACGATAAATACCAAGTCGTAAAGAGTTGTATGAGTTTTTATTTTCATAATGATTATGTGTTTTACGAAATGAGACGTCCGAACTCTTCCAAACTTACGGTAAGGTTAAATGCTAAAAATATAAACAAGTTCCCTACTTATATTGAAAATTGAAACTAATGTCCTATTCTGTTTATAACATAACTTAAACACAACAGAAAACATTAATGAAAACAGTCTGCCATTAGGTTGATATATCTAAATTGGCGAGAATTGTGTTCCATAGCTCTTCCTTTGCTGACTTCAGAGACACAAGTCGGAATAGAACTAATCGATACCTTCCGCTAGATGCTTTTTACACGTAAGGGAATAACAAAACTGTGATGACGGACGTTAGTATTGTCATAACAGTGAAATCATACAATAAGACTGTATCCACTAGTAATTTGGTCCATTAAAGGTCGAATATATATTACGTTAAATACTATGTTTAAATTCCTTTGGAATTTGCTTGATTGAAAATCATTATATCAGATCAGTGCCGAATTCCTGTTTCCAAATAACCCTTTAGATAATTGATTTCTCTGAAGATTCACGGACATTTGATACAACCTTTATATAAATAAATAAAATTGACTCTTGTCAGCTCTTTAAGTAAGGCTACAATTACATTACTGTATCAATATTTGTTTATTGTGTATTCTGAAAGAAACCTGGTAAGTATGTACGTACACTGCAGATATCCCCCAATGTGCTTTGGCGAATTTGCTGGAAGACCTGGATATGAATATTCCGCCTACAAGTATGGTCGGAACGATGGTGACAGGCCCGATGAACTTCATGAGAAATCCCACGGTTCCCGTAAGTCCAACTACACAGTGGATAAGACCGACCAGGATCAAAGAGCCTTGAAACTGTGTCAACATAATAAATGTTTGTTAGTAATGACGTAACAAACTTTTTGTCGGCGTGGTAAAACAGTGATAACGGAAACAGACCTGTAAATACTATAGGTTGGTGATATAGGAATGATCCTATCTAGAAATGGAAAATTTACAATAAGGGCACAATATGAACAAAAGAAAGATTTACACGAAGACTCCTGAAAAAGCACCAGGAGAATAAGACAAGATGCTCCGGATGATTGGGCATCTTCTGTTTAAGTGACATCACCCACCATGTAAATATGTCAATCCAAGTAAGTAATATACGTTCTCAATGGAAAACAAGGTATACAACAACGGGACCAGCAGGCAAACTAACGATCATCAAATACGTCCAGCTTCATGTCACACACAGAAATAGAGATCACTATGGCGACAATAAAGCTTCACCATACTATTCATCAACCTGCATCGTTTGAACCCTTGTGTTGAGTTTATCAGTCAGTTAACGACTTCATGCACGGAAACCAAGATAATGGGAACTGGTCTTTGAATACCAAATCAACTGTGATATGTAAATACTATAGATTTACGGTGAAATAACATTGTTATTATATACTCTAATGTTATTAAACATATGAAGAAATAAGATGAATATGTATTCATTTCCATTCGTTTACTTGCAAACATTTTTGTCGTAACTATATTTTTTTCATTAAGGTTGATATGAAAGGTAGTCTATCCAATATCCAAAAACTTCTGAACTCGTTTTATCGTGGTGCTCATCACATACCCATCTGCATTTTAATACTGGACATGCCCATTTTCATTACACGACTTTAACATCATCAAAAATCCATCAAGGGGACAGTTTAATTCTTAGATCATTTACCTGTTCACCTGTTTATTTCATTGAGTCTAGAACAATTATATGTACCAACATAAAAGTAATAATAGTAACCTAAGCAGATCAAAAGAACACTGATATAAGAAGTATGTATATTTACAATTCTTTAACGTTTTGTACTTTGTTTTGTTTTAAACAACTGTTTAATACCAAATTAACTTACACACAGATGGATAGCATCTTTTAACAAATTTATAAGTAGACACAATAGAACCAAATAATGAGCTTAAATGGATTATAATCTGCTTAGTCCTTGTAAGACTCATCAATGATGATAATTGACTTCGGTTTGAAACCTAAATAAAAGGTGAAAAAGGGATCGAAAGAAAAGTCAAAATTAAAATGCAGAGGTTCACTTGCTTTATTTTAGATGTAAGGAGATTCACGTAGACAAAAACTCACCTCCCGCAATCTGTAGAAAGCGAAACTTCGTTTCATTTCCATTTCATAATGAGAAGTCATATTTGGAGATGCCAAGTGGTACTGTGTTTCATTTGTAATTGTGAGACTAGTCTCTGAAATATATTCCATGAACAATGTTCAAGAACATAACGACTTGTTTACATTAGCAAATTACCAGCGGTACGGTATATAGCTGAATATTGTTTATACAAATAAATACAGGCAACTGCTCGTATTATAAGGTTATTAATTTGTGTTTTGAGTACTTCAACGAAATCTTCAGTAAGGCCCGAAATAGCTAGGCCAATAGTGAAAACACTACGTAGTGATCATATTATTAATTAAGTTGTCCATTTACGCGTAACTTAATTGCCACGGTAGATCAATTTCTACTGTAGTATATTTTTTGTCATGAAAACGTACAAATTTGTAAGAAGCCTTCCATTCTCGCTTACAAATAAACCAACGGTGTAATGGAAAATTGAAAATCTTTTGGTGGTTTTAACTACAGAATTTGCAACACAGTAGTTAAATTTCATTGAGCTAATATTTAGCAGTTGTCCCGTTTTCAGCTAGTTTACGGGAATTAAATTTCGTCCATGTCTATACATTGATATTTATATATACATTCGTACAAAAAAGTTTTTTTTTATATATCAATTTTATACTTTTAAGGTTACCTTTATTCGCGCTATCTTTAAATGCTGCGATGAACGTGAAGTTATATCCCCGATAATATTACTAATAGTACAGTAAATATCCTACCTGGAACGGTACAAAAGTTTGTGTCAAGGCGCTGTAAGGCCAGAAGAGGTATTACGTAAACAGGAGTTGCGCCCTGGAACAGTGGTAATCTATGGATGTAAAAAAAAAGACAAAATACTTCATTTCATCAATTTACAAGTGTGTATTAAGAAATCAATACTTCATTTCAGATTAATTTTATTGCGAGTATCTTAAAGCAAAAGGAATTGGACAACAGGAAAAGTCAATGAAAGTCCGCTCCTTTTAAGATTCTACAGAATACACATCAACTTTACTTCAAAAGTACAAAACGATGACTCTAGATATCAACATTACAGTTATATTATAATTTGAGAAATGAAAAAGTGAAATATGACTATTAAACTTTATAATGCTACAAACTTTTTCATAATCTACAAGAGCTACCACAAATATCAGTCCGTTCCTCAGATTTAGTCAGGAGGTCAGCACAGATCACTGTCCATAACATTCTTCGCTCTTTGCCGATCAATACGACAGTTGAAGAATAGACCAAGATTTGTGGCAACATGAGTATAAAATTAGTTCTGTAATAAAAGCGATTTGTATCGTTCATGGATCTCTGAACTAATTCTAAATATATTTATTGGTGTTTTCATCAAAGTTAGGTCAGCCATGTAAAAAGGGTTTTGGACAGCAGGCGGGATACATCACTAAGAGCAGAAAGAGAGTTAAAGAGAAGTGGTATTTGATTAGTATAAAAATGACACTGGGGGAAGAAGTAAGCATAACCTTCTACAGAAAAATCACATAAGCAGACAGGTCTGCCAGATATTTAAAGATATCTGAAAAGTGTCACCCACATCAAGTTGACTAGAAACAAAACTTGTTTTACAGCTCAAATGGATGTAATTTTGGGAAACAGACAAAAAGGATTATTCCAGTCAGATATAAGTTTTAGAAAGAAGCTAGTATTATTTAGGTGGATTGTAGGTAGTGCCACATCAGATAATACATTTAATGTGATGTGATCAGACCAAGTAGCATGACTTTAGATGTTTTCTCTATTAAACCTGTCAGCAGCTTCCTGTCTGTCTCCCTCAATCACGCCATATAAAGATATGTCATCCACAAACAATTTTACCTCAGACACTAAAAACAAAAAAATAAAATTTTATAATAATGAGATAATGGATATGATAGGTTAGAAGAACAATGTTGCTTCTTTTGTCTACAGTACTGTAAACCGAGTTTCGAAATTAAAAACCAATTTGCGAAACTTTATTGCCAGATACTAAGATAGTATGATATAACAATAGGGTAGCGAGTACAAGTTTTTGCGAAAATTATGTCGAAATCGCGAAAGTTATTTTTAGTCTATCGGAATCAGTTTCAATATGTTAATTTAACAGATATAAATTCTAATTATCACCATTGTCTAACCTTATACCAAGCGTGACTTGTAGGAGAGTCGTAATCCCATTCATGAACATGGTGGAGCTGAGGAGATCTGTCTTTATGTCCGGGAAGTCGGATGCACAGGCCACTTCAGCCACAAATGTGGAAATTGCAAGCGATCCTGATAAGGATAGCAGTGCTTGCTAGAAATACGAAAAATAGCATGTAACGTCAAGCAACGTAATCTACAAAGTGAGATAAAAATAGTATGAATACACGGAATGAAGACAGGAATGCATTATACAAAATTATGGTGAGAAAGGTAGACAACTGTATACTTGTGCGTATTGAAAGAAAGTTCTTTCTTGCCTTATTGCTCGAATGATTTGAAGGCCAACGTAATTGTTATAACTATATTGTTAAAGGATAAATTCAAGGAATGATAGAGAGACAGGAAAGGCATTATATGAAGAATAGAAGACATCAAAATCCAAAGTTCAGTTGACTATAATTTTTTACAAGCTACCTACACAAAAATATAACTTCATACATATACAGAAATTTAGCATGTGCGTATTAGAATGACGTTTGCAGGCACAGATTGGTTGTATAATATAGTGTATTTATTATATGTCATAATATTTACCAATAAGACATGAATTAACAGATCAATAGAAATACTGACTTTCAGAAAAATTCGTTATCCAAACTCAAACTTAATGCATTGTACCAAAGGAAATATTTACAGCATTGAAAAAGAGAATAATTAAAGAGCATTTTGCATCATCAACAATAAATGACAAATTCTTTTCCAAAGTAAGGTTGTACATACAATTTTGCAACATAATTTACATTCGAAAAGAATAGAGCTAAAGTATGAATTAGACTGCATAATAAACGTGTTTCGTACTTTAAATACTCAACAGCGAGGCTTCGGACTTAATGATTAAAATCCTTGGAGGCGAGTGAGAACAATACAAAAAAAAGGGTAGTTATGTTCATCCCTAAATTCAATAACATTTGATAAAATATTGGGTTATTTCTGGAGAGCCTCAAGTAATTTAACAGACAATGATGAAATTAAGACTAAGATGGAATGGCTAGGAGTTCTTTCCTAGTGCTGTGTAATATTGAAATCATTAAAATATGCTCCTTTGCGCGCCCTACAAGGGTCAATGACTAGATTAGCTTGTTGTCAGTATGATATGTCCGGTCTGTTCGTCATGATACTTCATTTTCAACAAATTTCATTGCTCAAAAAAGGGCAAAGGGATAGTGCATCAGGCATTGCCTATTTAAGCCAGCAACTTCTAGATGGCAATTTGTATATATAATAAGTCCACCTCCAAAACCAAACTGCCTATCCTTTCGGTAAATATCATGAGAAAAACTGTCTAATAAAAGGACAATGTCTGGTATCGATGGATTAAGTTTCTGTAATACATATCACTTTCGGAGAGTTCACTTTCTAAAATATTTTACTTTTTGCTAATAGATCTAACATTCAGATGAGAAATTTGAAGATTGCGTAGAGGATCAGGATTTAATTCTCTATCATAACCCAATAGCAAAAGAATTACTAAAATCAGACAAAAATGAACACTGTTATCAGGAAACGTTAAAACATAAGTACAAAGTATCTCAGAAAATATGCAAGATACACTGTATAGTACATTACTCCCACGCACCTCCTACATCCATAGCTGAATTAAGTATGGATAAACCATTAACCAGTATCTAAGTGATATCGACCAAGTGGTACACGAGATAAATGGGGAACAAAATATGACAAAATAAAGTAATACTTTGGTGGATACACATTATATACAATATTACATGTATATTTATATTCAGAACCAACAAAGTCATGAACTGGGTACGTCAAAATCTGCTTAGGGCTAATTTATACACTATTTAATAAATGTTACTTTTTCAAGAGTCGGAAGGACAAAAATGTATCTTCAAATTGTCAGCGATGGAAATCATCTCAAGTAACCTGCCCGCTACACTACACTACGTCATGACATTGCGTCTATGTTAAACGTTTTAGCGTGATGACACTCTAAAAGTGTCCAACATTGTCCTGTCAGTCGTTGATACAATATTTGATAGACCCTCTTTTGCAAGGAAGCAAAACATTAAACAAAACAAAACAAAAAGAAAACGAAAAAGAAGAATGTAATGACAGCATACATACCTGAAATGCAAAGAAGATTGTCATATAAATCGGTGGTGTATCGGTGACTTTGTACAACAGTGCTTCTGGCATGTTTTCCTGTTCATATTCTATTTCAGGTGTGCTGCTATCATTGTCTGGATTCATCAACAAAATAGCCTCTTTTTCTGCGAGGGGTTTCCCATTTGTTGCCTTTTCCTCCATGTTCACTCTCTCTGTCATCAAGAAAAATGAAGATGTCAGAATGGGTGGTTTGATATACCATTTCAATCCAGAATACCAATAGACAGTCATTAACAGATTTTCGGATCAAAAACCGAATATTGTTTTTCAAATAACTACAACTAACGGCCATCAGTACATCTAACACTGAAGTATGATTGAAAAAAGACTTACGTAAACTTTTTCATAGAACTTGGAGATTTCCATTAGACCAAGGAATAGATACGTATTTGACATATTTAGTACACATTTTTCATGTTCTCTTGTTTCAAAATTCAACTGGAATAAAGATATTTACTCTGGTATGATAACGTACCTTTTGGTATGATATGTCTGCTAATAATACATGTCTATCAAATCATTCCCTTTTTGTTTGAAGTTTTGAGTCCACCAAATATCGAAATTACGAAAAGATAAAAACACAATGGTGCATGATGTCATCACAATGAACAGTCATCCCATCATGTCCGGTTAAGTATACTTATTTATAGATGAACATTTTCTTGTAATCATAATACAAACATTACATACAATAAATATAGCAGGGTGAGAAACAAAGTGATTATACAAGCGCTCATGATCCATTGACCTTACATTCAAAGTAATACCGGCAATCAGTCATAAGTCTTTTCTCTTTCGTCAACTTTCGTCAACGCAACATAAGTTAGTTATTTCAGATCGTTTTAAACAGTGACAAAGTAAATGAAACTTACAATGAAAAATAATAGCTATTATTTATGTTTTCAATTTCGTAGCCAAAGTGATGATAATTTACTTACTTTAAACAAGATCTTCTGCAAAATTCGAACTCTCTTCAAATTCTTCTTTTATATCTGTGTTCAGTTATCCCATAGCAATAATATATTAAAATGTATGTGTCATTATATTTCCCGTTCATAAAGAGCGTAGTTAATATTTTTGAAGTACACGTGTTCTGCTAGTAGTTAATAAAATTGAAACGTATGAATTATTTCCTTTATTAATAAGTTTTTGTTTATTACTTTTCTGCAAAGCGTGTAAATCGTATGCCCATGTAACATCTGCGCGTAGGATTAAATTATATTGATTTATAATAAAAACTTTTGATGCAAGAAATAAAATAAAAAATAAATGAAGTTATGCGAGTTTTTTTCGGACAAGTCAATATCGATCAAATAAGTTTGTATGTTTGTTAGTGTTGTCTGCTGGATATTATAAATGTTTATGGTGCTATATATTACCAAATATATTCTTCACAGCCACGAAAAAATATTGAGTGACCAGGGGCAACATTCTTGTTCAAGCAAGAAAAATCTCGATTGTCACACCTTCAATGCACAATGACCTAACAAGTCCTTGAAAAATGAAAATATGATTTCAAAATTCTTACATACTTTATATATTTTCATTTTAAACACAAATATTGTTTTAAAGATTAGATTTGAAAGAAGTAGATTAAAGTCATATTATTTTGAGAAAAAAATATGACGATATTCAATATCTCATTTATCAAAAATAAGAAAGTGTGAACAAGATATCACATGAATCATTTAACCCTATAGTTAGTTTATATTCACACATTAGTATTACAATGATCTGATCCACAATTGTTTACCGGTCAAGGAAAAAGGATATCTTTTTTTAAATAAAAAGCATGTGAAAAAGACACTTCTTGAACCTCTCAACATATTCAGGTAAGTAAATTTAAAAGCAGATGTGTATGGGTAAATTGATTTGAGTGTATCCTAATCAGTGCTAATATGAGTATTTTTGTAGAAGTATTGTGGTGTTTATGATTAGCCGTGACTATTTCTGGATATCCATGTTTACAACGTGATGCAATACATTATAGATTACTCTTTACCTTAAATACTGCACAATACAATACTAAACACATAATGCAAAATCAAGTTCATCTCTACGTTTTATATGACTTCCCTGTTGATCAATGTATCTGCCATACTAGTTAATATGATCTGGCCATCACATAAAAGAAAATAATAATTTGGATTAATTTTGAGTCAAGGATTTCACCAGGTCGACAGAGTGAGTTTTTGTCTGAGATTCATTAACTTTCAGTAACGTCAACAGAAGATTGTACAAAAGATACACAAATAAACACCATTATTTAATACACAGCTGTTTCGTCCTCGGGCTCGACAATGTTAAAACCCTACATGGTAAAGTTAAGAGGTAAAGTGATCGAAAGATATGTCAACATCTAGATTGGGAGGACTAGTCCCATAATTCAGTAAATTTTGTAATTTTCATACATCTGATAATTTTAGAACAGTGTTCACTGCATGTGTATGAAGTGAGACGTGCCAAGCATTTACGGCAAACCTCGAGAACTAACAGTCAACCAGTCTACTATCAGCAATCTCGGAGATAATACAAAAGACACACAATTGGATAACACCATTTAATAGGAATTAAAATAAGATCCAATGGGTCCAAAAACTGAATTAAACTGCGTCATTGAATGAGGTTGTTTCAGCACTGTAGTGAAATAAGTAGAATTTACAGTCATAGATTATATTCACACTTAATGCAAAACGGAAATTATTTACTTTGTAACAACAGGTTTTTATGCATTCTTTTGATTGATATCCAATCTATCGACTGATTATGTTTATGTTACCCCGTCAGAATGATACTTTGACATATGTGTGTAATAACATTGTCTGAACATACAGATATAATATAGACCTAAAGAATGGTTTGATATCGAAATAAATATAGCGTGAATATTCTTCATTCATCTCAGTTATAGAGGTGTTTTATTTGTTCCTGTTGTGAAATCTACATATAGCATGTACACGTGGTGTCGTTGCAACACATGTGGGCAAGATAAAAAAAAACACGATAAAAAGTGCATATCCTAATATTACCAGGAACGAGAGAATGAGCGAAAGAATGCAAACAAAATGAATATTGGTTTACATTATACAGAGATGTATGGAGTGTAATCATCTCGAAAGAATAAAGTAAAACTTGTGTAATGTGAACGAAAAGAACCTTCCATTCTTTTCAAGGACAAGAAATCGTTAATAAAGTGGGCACTTGAGTGTTGTATATTCAAATCTATGTAAATATGGTGTCACACCAGAGTCTTCATTACTCAATCATGTATGTCATTATCTGCGGACAGCTTTTTATATCACAATTTGCTCAAGTTCGATTGTAAATTCAAACACAAACAAAGTACATCTTGTACATAAATAAAACTGGTCTACACTTTAACACCTTGGGTTGGAAAAAGATTATGTTGTTCAAACGATATATGCTTTATTTCATGGTTTATTTGTGAGAGGCTAAATATTAGCAAACGATCATTACAACAGCCAATTAATCTACTTAAAGTGTCCACAGGCAACTTGCTTATTCAGACACGCAATTAAACTAAAATGTCGCACGCTGAACATACTAGGCAGTGGTATCTAACGTATACCGAACTGTTCATATCTTGAAAAATAGAAGTTTTATTGCAAAAGTTTTTATCAACTCAATATTGGCGGGAAAATTGTAGATCTTTTTTTCTGCTAAACACATACCGTGTATTCAGAGTTATGTTGATAATATTATACAAAGGTAGATACAGGAGGTAAAAACTTATTTTCGATGACAAGTCTACTTGAATATTAAACACCTCATGAAAAAAATAATGTATACTGTATGTAATAAACTCCTTGCAATATCTAGTATATATTAACTCCACAGCATTTTATAAAGTATACATCTTTATTTCTGAATAACCGTGCTTAAAACATATTGCAATAAACATGGAAAATAAACAGAGAATACAAAATACATCTCCACGTTTTATGGTTCCTGACTGTAGGCTGATATATCTGCAGTACTGATTTACACAAGCTGACGACCACAGGAAAAGCAATGATTTTTATATAAATATTATTACTCCATTTTTCTCTTGAATATTCCTGCACTGTGTATATATCTATGTGTTTTTATGGCATTTATGGTCAGCATTTGAATAGTGGTTTTACAAGTAAATTATAACTGCAATCTCATTTCATTTTGTACTCTTTACCCTGAAAGCCCAAATCATCCCCCTTTTTGGTCCACATAGGGGCAAGTCAGAATCTATGTAACAGTGATTTGTTTGAAGAAGTTGAACATGTTCTTTGTGAAATGTCAAAAACATGTCAAAATCAAATTATGTGCAACTAGGGCAAAATGCGATAAAAATATATACAGGCTCCGGAAATCAGTATGAGAACAACAATAACAGATGTTCTGAAATGATGATTTCTTCTGCTTCATCGACGACAGCCATGTTAACATTTGGCAGTACAAGAAAGTGATGTCACGTTCTCAAATGCCAACAAGGCAAGCAATAGTGGAATCGTAAGAAATAGATTATCCTGTTCCTCTTGAAAACCTGTTTAGTGAGCTTGTATGTCGCTTGCTTCATCTTGCATTAACATCGTGACATTGAGAACAAGTCCTAGAATATCGAATCAGCTGCGACATATAATCACGCATTGGGAATGCGCGGGAAATTGAAATCATCACGCTTATCTTATAGCCTGAAGGAAAGGTGTCTTTGTTGGTTTCGTTGACGGAAAAGACCGAGATGAATTGCTCATTTAGAAGAATTTGTGTCCTTTGTTTCAAATTCTGGTTGGTTTATGTATATAAGATGGAAACTATCAATACATTTCTCGTTTATTAAAGACAGGACGTAATCAATATATCTGCAAATGAAAGATCTAACCATCAAGCACGCCGAGTATATTGTCAACCAGAAGTTCGGCTCTTTTGATAAATTAATCTTCTCTAATTGAATATATTTTTTTACAGCAGTTGGCTTATATGTTTTGATTACTCTATTTGCTCTCTGTGCTAAGATCAAAGAGCCCAGGGGTCCCTGCGCCATTTTGCCCACAATTACATCGTCAATAAATACCCGTTGGATATATAAAACGTTTAGAGCGTTTAAAATAACATATAATTTTCAGACGACTTGATCATCTTTTCAT